CGACATGGACGGACTCCTGCTCGATACGGTGCCGATCTACAACGAAATGATGCGTTCAGTGGTGGTCCAGCAGGGCTACAGGTTCTCAACTCGACTCCAGCAGCAGCTGCTCGGAAGGAATCGACTAGATTGTGCCAAACTGATTGTGAAACACTGCCAAAGCTCACTGACAGTCGAAGAGTGCATGATGGAGATCGGCAAGAATCACGCGAAGCTACTCTCCCACTGTAGGCTCCTACAAGGAGCTGAAAGGCTCATTCGGCATCTACACCGCGCCGGAATCCCGATGGCTGTGGGTACGAGCAGCTCAACGAAGTCCGTGGCCATCAAAACAAGCGCCCACCCCGAGCTCTTCTCCATGATACACCACATAACGTGCGGACTCGACGATCCTGGCGTTTCGTACGGCAAACCGGCACCGGACATTTTCCTGGCGGCGGCTGAAAGGTTCGATGAACCAGTGGATTCATCTGAATGCCTCGTGTTCGAAGACGCCGTGAATGGAGTGGAAGCGGCACGCGCTGCCGGGATGCAAGTCGTTCTGGTCTCCAAGGATGAGAAATGTTCTCTAGCCACGCTGCAGCTCCGGAGCCTGCTGGATTTCCGACCCGAACTTTTCGGCCTTCCAGCTTTCCCGTGAAAGACGAATGGGATTTCAGACTGGAATTCGAAGAAGTTGTCTCTCCGGATACCTCAGCGGAAACCGATTGTACAAAATATTTAATGTAGAAAAAAAAGCGAACAGAGAGTGCCAATTATGTCAAAGTCTTCAAGTTCGAAGGAGAAATCGTGTGAGCTTCCGATAGCTGGATGTGTGGATCCGGTAATAAATACTATTTAATGCGGGTGCAGAAATTGGTCCTCGCTTCCATCGGGACATCAATGAGCTTGACGAATTTCCGCGAGCATCGCCCGATGACGCGATTCGCGTCATTCGTGGAGCGTGCGTGTCGAGACTGGGCGAACCGTTGGTTGAGCTTATCATTCATCATTGCTTGTATTCCATGACGAGTCACCTTGGTTTCACTGAGATCGGTCCGAGGCCGAAATTCAAAGTTTATCTTGGCGCCCTCTCCGTATCTCCTGGTAATCTGAGCTTTGACTGGTGCGTCGGAATGGATGGTTCAAGATACTCACCTCCCAGCAGTCACAAGCTCAAGGTCGCACTATGCATCCGTAAACATTCGCCGTTCTCCCACGCTATTATCACAAAACCCGTAAGGGTTCGCGCCCTTAGAGAAGTGCACCCCTATCTCCTGACAAGAACGACATTAGCTACAGCGGTGGCTTAAAATGTATTTCTGGTCAAACTCTGACCGCGGTGTATCGGCTGGAATACCCTCATGATTGCCACGAGTTTTGGATACCGACAGCTGTCTATCCGCATGCGTAATATAATTTTTTGCGAAGAATTCATTAGTAACAGACTATGTTGTTCATCGACACCGTAATCGTCTAAGTCTAGAAGAATTCCCCGATCTTAACGCCAGACACTTGTTTGACGTCAATCTTGTCTAAAGCATGGTTGAAATTGACATCGAATTGTAGAATTATCGAGACACAGGATATCATGCCTACGAAGAATTTCACAGTCGTGGCTTTACAGAGAACGAATGAATCCCAAACCATCACAGCATCTCGAATAGAGTCGAAATCAACGATCCGTCGCACTTCGGACCAGAGAATGAGATGACGGACCTCGTGGGTGAGACTGAGCTCCGTTATGTAATCGGTTGCCTCACGAAGTTTCCGTATGAAGAACATGGTGGTTGAAGACAGGACTAATATTTCGAAAGTCGCATGAATGCCACAGAACACGAATATGAGAACTTCTAGAGGTCTCTGCTGTTTCGAACGAGCCACAACCCCCACGTAGATAAATAGCAAATAATAGGAGAACAGTTTGAAGTACAAGACTAGAATCGGGAGCGAGAAGACCGCATTGATTCGGGTCACCTTCGCTCGGAGACTGTACTTGAAAGCCACAGCTTCCCGACAAACCCAGAGAAGATCCACGAGGCCTTTTTCTTTCACGTGCGAGGTCACTCTGTCTTTGAAGGAGCACACCTGATCACAGAGGCTAACGGCGGCCATGAGGTACACAACCATAGAGAGATTATAGGCCATGCGTATTGGGCTGAAGGCTGCTTGGAGTACAGTGCTCGACAAGGCGGCCTTGTCTCGACTTTGCCAGTCGTGGGTGGTTTGGACCACGGCACGGAGAATCGGAGATGCGACAGCCAGGTAGGTCAGGATTCTGACGTATTTGCAGCGAACTTGGCTGCCATGGATGAACTCGACAAGGTTGCTCTCGAAGCGTCTTAGCAGCGTGTAACAGTAGAGATGGGCGACCATGTCGACGACGAGCAACGCTGTACGCATCATTTGCGTGATGGACACCGGCTGGGGGCTGTCCCGTTTGAGACGGCATTCGCTGCTCACATTGAAAACGGTGGCCACCAGAGCAAGCAGAGTCAGCACTAGCCAGACGAGTCCAAAGTTCCTCAGGCAGGTCTGTTGTATCGAGAGTCTTCTCGAAGTTATCCAAATGCCGAAGAACTTGAAGATGATCTCTATCATGCGCAATTCAACGTGAACCGAAGACTTGCTGGATGCGGGGTGCGGCGCTTTCTCACATTTTCTCGAAGACTTGTCACCGAACATTCTCTTGACGGAATTTCAGGGTCGCCCTGTCGGAGGGTGGGAGCCGGCAATCCAAGCGACCTTATCTGCACGACCGGGAAAGGGTTCTGCTCTACAGGTCCGAGGGTCGCTCCGGAGGGTGGAGTATGTAATTGTGTTTGCGGAATCGTGTGTAAACAATTCAACCTTCCGTTGATATAGAGATGGGCCAGGTTCTCGTGGAGCGGCATTCCGTCAAGTTTTATTTTCAGACAAAGAAATCATAGAGTCGGTGCCTCCAGTCCCTCGCCTAGGGCTTGGCGACTGCCGCGACCCTGGAGTCCGCCTCCAGCCGGACCTCCCTTCGAGCCAGAAGCTCCTCCGGACTGGAAGGAAGCGAAAAGTCGAAATTCTGCCCGCGCTGCGAGACAATCGATCGAAAAAGAACTTCGTTCGCCGAAACACATACCTTGCTGCCTTCGGGAGCGTTCATCGCGCCTTCGGCAGGCTCAGTGCCTTCGGCGAGAGCGTTGCCGAGGAAGAAGACGAACAAGAAGAGCGAGGCGAAGAAGAATCTCATGTCGGCTCGGAGTCGCTAGGATCACTCTGGGACTTTCTGATTCTACAGACTTGGCGGCCTGATTATAAAGGAACAGAATTCGCTGTGGGAGGCATCGTCGCTCCAATTCCCGAAATGTTCATTCCACCCGAGAGCACGAGACTGCGTAGCGCCGGGCAGATGACGCGCCACGATAAGATAGAGGACGCGATAGACTACCGAGTGGGCCCCGCTGTCTGGGCGGACGGCATGCCGACCGGCAGCGAATACGCTTCTGAATGGGAACAATAGTCTTGCAGATAAGGTTGTCAGCGCTCGTTGCTCCAAGGATCGCTCACGGGACCCGACACCGTGTGCAGCGCTCCATACACTGGTGATCCTGTCCTTGTCTCGCTTGTCGACCGCGATCCCCAGTTCTCCCTACGGAGCGAAGGGAAGCATCGGAATGCGGTCCTTCCAGTTGGATTCTGGTTTCCGCACCATTTTTCCGGTTCCGTAATAGGTTATCGGAAATATGTTTTTTTGGTGAATATACGACAATCCATGGCATCAGCGAATGCAACAGCCAGCTATTAATAGCGGCTAATGCATAGTTTCACTGACCTTCGACGGCCCATTCGGTTGCCTACGGTGCGCGAAGTATTCTCGTCCCCGAGTAGCAAAACGTGTAGTTTCATGGGCTCTCCGTAAGACATCGTCGGTCAGTTGAGATCCTGCTGCTTCGGGGAATGACGCTACTCCACAGCCCGATCCAGGTCAGAGAACCAGCGTGCAAACCCCCTCGACGGTAACTCTCGGCGGAGGCGATTCGACTGGGATAATTGTAATGCTCCCCGACATCGATTCCGCTTCCTTGGTCATCGGTTTACTAGGAGGCGACTCGAGGGTCTTCACTCGACAAGATCTGCCATTGCTCCCTTGGTCTTATCTCTCGTCTGAACGAAGGTGTTCACTAGCGAACACACGCGTTCTCCAAAATACCAAAGAAGCGCGACGTGTTCCTTATCGCTGTACGTGTCGGTCGTCAACGGTTACGACGACGACGATCAGACGAGCCACTAACATCACAAAGGGATAGCATAGTCTGGCATTGCACGCCGCCACCAACTAACGAACCAACAAGTGTACTCGCTAGACCGGCCGTGCGAGACAATTCTGGACTCGTCGCCGTGCCGTAAGCCGCGTGGCCGGCATAGTTTGCACAAGGCCTGCTCCGAACGATGAACTCGACGCGGAAATCGCGGCTTCCGGATGGTCATTTAGTAAGCCCTAATCTTCGTCGAGTGCATCGCCGCATTTGACCGTGGGTATCTGCCTCGCACTTATCGTAGCCGAAAACGATTCGTTTCCCCCAATTATTTCCGGGAAGCTAGTTATCCCTGTAGCATACTGATTCATAACCCAACCATCGATAGGAGGAAGTCGTTCCTTTGGCATGGACCCCTCTCGTGTCCGTGTTCGGAGATGTCGTTAATTCGCGAGGAGTCTTCTTCGGAGCGAGTCGACCTGGGAGAGAGTCATTTTCCTCCGTCCTTGGAGTTCCGACCCCCGATCGATGACTTGCAGAGAAGCTCTACACGAGATACTTTTGGGTCGGAACTCTTCTCCCGTGGGGAACCCCGTGCTAATTCGCTCCCTCGGATTATCGTGGGGCCTTTTCCGAGAATGCCGGATGTACTCCAGGCTTCGGGCAGCGGATGATTCAATACCCCGAGGCTTGAAGGTCGACCCGCACCACGTCGCTTGACCATCGGAAGGGAACTCTCTCTTTTTCACGCTTCGAAGAACATACAGCCACCGGCCTGCTGAATCCCGACTCACAGTGGCCCCAGTTGCGTCAGAGATCGCAGAGTAATGTCCGCTCTCTAGACCATGTAGCGTTTTGCGACGACTTGTTCTTTTTGAAAATGCTGAGGAGTGCCAAGGCGTATCAGCTTCGGACATGTGAACGGGCGACCGTACCATTGAAATGAAGCTCTTCAGTGCCCTTGTTTGCTGCATCGCATTGGCGGGAGCAGGTGAGCTTGGAGTATGACTACTACCTATGTTTCGCGGATTAATGCTGTGGCTGCGATAAGCGTCGTGGGCAGCGATGGGACTCAGGAGCAGGAGATCGATTCGACCGCGGGTGAGATAAGTTGGAAACGCGGTGTGCCCCTCTCGGGAATCGCGAAATCCATTGAAGTCGCTCTGTTGCTGTGAGCGACGGATCCCTCTCCCCCTAACAATAACACATCGCGACCCATGACGCTCCCGGAAGATCGATTCATCTCGAAGTCCCGCAAGCCGCCGCGTTCACAGACTCTGGATTCATGCTCCATTCCTGAGGATTTTCACCTATCTCCTCGCGCTGCAATGACCCTAGCGCCTCACGTTGTGCGATGGATATGATTCCTGCTAGGGCATGGACAATGAGTCGTCGGGAAACCCTGACCATAAATCTCAATCGGAGGGGAGAGCGGGAGCCTTGTTCTCAGGTCGAGTCCCGACTTTTCGATAGACCTACTCTCAACTCCAGACCAAGGGACAAGTGGTGGCTGGGAGGCGTTACCGACTTTCGGATGCCGAAAGTCTAACACTGAGAGCTGCCATGCATCCGGAGTTCGCTCCGCTCAGAAGCAGCACGAGGGTGATCCTGGACTGTCGGATCCATCGAGCGAGTTTTCCTCGTGGGCCCCAGGAGGAGCCACTCACCCTCCTCGTGGTCGCCGGTGCACACTCCCTTACGCCCCGGGAGGACGACGGAATACCCAATGCGTCCAGAATATGCTCCTCGGTCCCAGAGTTTCGATTCTGTCAATTCAATGGTTGAGTGGATTCTTAGTGGATCGAGAATCAGTTTATTCGACTCAGAAATCAGAGCAGATGGCGGAACTATCACCGACTGAAAAAATATTCAAATTCCAGGCCCAGCAGCCAGTAAAGGGGATGTGGCCAAGAAAGAATGCATGATTGACGCTTCGAAAGGATGGTTCGATCCTTCAAACGTGTACAGCTGTCTCAGTGCACAAAAGTGCTGCAAGGAATACGGAAAGCCTTCCTGCTGCGCAAGCAAACCCACGCTCGAGATCGTGTATGTATCCAGACTAGGCGCTGCAGCAGTGACGTTCGTTTCATCATTCGCTAAAATACAGAGCTCTGACGATGCAATATCACTCTCGTTGCCGGAGCAAACTGATTCTCGAGCGCTTCTCGATTTACGATGGGCGAACAAGTCTGAATGCGTTGGAGAAAATCGAAGCCAGTGTCGGATGTTCTCGACAGCGAAATTCTCGGAATATTGCGCTCCCATCGGCTCTGACTCGACTGGGCCGTCGACTTTACGATGCAACGCAATCGGTACCATCAGAATGCGATATGCACCCAATGATGAGAAGGGCTTAGCGGATGATTCCTGCATTGTAGCCCTTGACCCGGGCTCGACGGAGGTGGATCAGTTATGTCTCCGAGTGCGTGGGTGATTTTCAGAGCATGAAATGTAAACAGATCCTTGACCCAGCGGACGTGGGCGCTTCACACAGCGCTCCCGCTCGTGACGACCCGTTTCTGAGAGTTTTCCGTTTTTATTCCGAATCACCGTGACCCACAACGAGTCCGGTGTGAGGAACCTAGGCAGACCTGGGGGAAAGGATTCCCGTGGAGAAAATGGAGAACTCCGGATGGTCAGCAGGTGCGAATGCCACGTTGACGCTTTGTGGCTCCTCGTATCTGATTTCCGTTTAATCGTTGATGGTTTTGTTCACAGGCAAGAACAGCTCCTACTCTGGGGAGGGCTGTTCTCGTTCTTAACCCTTCTCGCAGTTCTGATCTACTGTCGAAGAACGGACGTACGTCTTTGTGAGGGACGAAAAATCAACTGGTGCGGCCGTAACCGAGTGAGGACCATGCAGGACACCTACTAAACGACTCGATGCGGGTCGTCAGCAGATTCTGCCGATGCTAACTCGGCTAGTTCCGGTGGTAAATTATTTTCACAAACTTCTATAGACGCCAGTGATTATCGATGCCTGGCGATGGGAATATATCGGGGCAGGATGGGCATGTATTGAATTCGCGCCGTCTGTCTGGGGAAACCCAAGAGAAACGTCTCGGAATCAGAAACTTGGCTAGGAACATCAGAGGATCTCGAAGTGCGAAAATCAAACTCCGACTTGTGAGCTTAGCCGCACGTTTCTTTTGCAGCCATCGGTCCCTGAAAAGCCGTATTGCTCAAGACTCGACAGAACTAGATCCGATTCTCTAATACATAGAACATGGAGACAGGGGAGTTTGTATTCTTGCCTCCGTGATACGTGTCTGAGGAACCCCACAACCTCCGTCTGCATTCGACGATCCTTGTAGAAAGTCGTCAATAAATATCATTTATTGAGAGACCTCTCTTTCCCTCTAAATTCCGAACGGCGATTCCTGCGTCCTGCTCCGGCGCGAGTACTCGTCGTAGAAGTCGAGACCCGTGCGTCACAGATTCTCGAGAGCCGAGAGATCCGGCACTGTCAAGTCGAAATTTTCAGGGGGCGGAGAAAAATACGACTCATAAGATAAATTGAAGGACGGGTATGTCGCGTAATGGGGTCTCCACCTATACTTCATGCTCTCTCTTGAAGGAACAATAATTGTGATAATGAGAGGATCCTTGATCGATACCATCGAAGCGTCTGTCTTTCTGTTCCGCAGCACGACTGGAGCGGAACAGCATTCCCTCGACGACTGACACCCGGAGCACTCCGCGATGTTCCATCGTCTCTCTGCCGCGAGCATGTCTTCCCTCTCGAGTCCTCCGAGGAAACGCATCGGGGGATGGGGACAGGGCCCTAATGCACCCCATGTTGATATATCACCCTGAAATAAGACATCAAACATCAGCTTCAATATCTGAGCCTCTGGTAAGAGATGCCATTGGTCGATTGTGTCCAATAAATTCCAACTATACCTGGATCCTATAGCAGCCATGATGAGGCCGGCGAATGTGCTTAGAGCTGAGTCGATAAACCAGAGCCTTCTACGTCGTCGATACACAACGGTGCCGACAATCAGGCTCAAGGCACAGAAACCGCTCAGCAGGGAACCGACGCCATCGAGCGCCACAGTTTTGGCCGAGATCCCGCAGTGAAGTCGCGTCACGTGGTTTGCCACCCAAAACTTGAGTACGGCTAAGGTTGCGCAAATCGAGCACGCGGACGACGACAGCAGAATCAAGAGCGGCATCTGCAAGCCAAAAAGTGATAGGCATGCCCGCATATCGGAAGGCATATACGATTTCTTTGCGGGACTCTTTAGTCCCGGAAGGATACCGCGTAGTATTCCAGAGCACAATGTCTGCGTTTCCCAGATTGTCCTCAGAACTCACGACTATAGGGTGCTCTTGGTACACTATACCGGTCACGGCCCGCAGGCACACTGCGAATCCCGATGCGATGAAGAGAACTCCAAGGAAGACACAAGCTCTGAAAAGAGCCCGAAACATGGTCCGAGTCGATCTGATCCGAATGGTCGAAGTACTGTACTCGATACGATCCGTCGCCCTCAGGCTTGGCATTCACACATACAGGTACTCTGTTCGTTTCGATGTGCTGCGCGAGAATTGCCAAATCACAATGGCGGAAGACATGAAATCCAGCAAGCACTCCAGCTGGAAGGAGATGAACACAAGTTTTTCGCAATCGACGCAAGAGATTAGAGCCGAAGAAGAACTCTAGAATCATTCCATGACGCGACATCGGGAGTCGGGAGAGAGTCGCCCGCCCTGTCGCAAAGACAATGACAAGAAGAATGGTGCTCCCACCCTCCGGGTCAGATACGCAGAGTCTGAAGGATTCGGCTCGAGCTCATTCAAAACACGTAGGATGACTCGGAAGTTCTTCTCGAGTGGCTCGCATGATAGTCTCAGCTTTCGGACCCGAATCGGAGGAGCGCTCAAAAACGACAACGAGCGTTGGAATAGACTTACGTCACGTCGGACGTGACGCAGCCCTAGAGAGCTTGGTTAGCATAGAGTCTCGTCCAGTGGATTCGCTTGCATAGCCTCCAATTCGGCTCCTATCAGTTGCGTGAATATTCATAAGGGTGGGGAAACGGGGATATTCACGCGAAGTCGCCTTCTCCGTTCCTCGAGTTTTCTATCGAATTAGTACGTACCGAAAAAGCGAAAATCGACGCACTCTTGCGGTCAGAAGCTAGCACTGAAACATAAACTTGGGTTACTCTGCGTGTCTGTCTGGAATCGTGCGTACTCCATTCGAATTTGCTCTGCTGCGTCCGTGAACATGGATGGGATCATAACTTTCCCCCGCATAAGGGAACCTCTGCCTCCCCTGCTGTAATTTGATTGATCCGCTCCGCCCCTCCGTCTCCAGAGGAGGTTTCGCTTACCCAGAGCGATGGATGCTAAGCAGACATCAGTTACTGCCGAAATAATTGTCACCACGAGGATGAGTTTCCGGGCGTTCTTCTTCGTATCGTTATAGGTTCTCAATAGCGAACGGTGTATTACTTCCATATGATCACAAGGTAGGTTCAAGGACACGGAAGCGTCGTGCTTGCTTTTGACGAGCGACGTGAGTCTCATGACTTCATTTGCTCAGGTCTGAGGGCTGCGAAAAACGAACTTCCTATTGCAAAGAATCTCCGCGACCACTATCCAGAGAACGGCTTCCTCTTTCGAAAACGCATCTGTTAGTGATATGCACGGATCATCGTGGTCCCGGGCGCAAAGAATGGGTGATCGATCACAGGATGAGCAAGGGATATCTCCGATACGATTGAGAGAATTTCCGCGAGTTTTACTCTTGCTAAGCTCACAGCATCCTGGTGGGAATACCGGTCGATTCCGAGCATTTCTCCAGAGCAGACTCCATCTCAGTGTATGCGGGGAGTTACTCCGCTGAAATGAAATCATTCCTCCCCGAGCTCGGCGACAGACTCAAACACTTGATTTCCATCCGGTCCGGACGGAAACCCGCATGAATTTTCGATTGGATGGATTCCTTTCAATTCCACGAACAGGCATTTCTCTGCTGACGACGGGAGATCATTCGTTGGCTCTCTTTTGCGATCAGAAAATCAATTCGAATTATAGTCATGAGGTTCACCCAAGGGGTGCGTGGATTGACTAAGAGGAGAGATCAGGGAACATTCGTCACTACTTCTTTTGCGAAGCAGATGTACCAGAGAACTTAATTTCCGAGGAATGATACCCGACCGTAAGAAGCCTCCTGCATGATTACGTCTTTCACGTGGGGGATTCCTTCCGGAGAGCGCTATGCCCCATGCTCCTCACGCAAGCTGATCGCAGCCGTCTGCATAGTAGGATTGAATGCGCGAGTTTCTGAGTTAGGCGTTGCGGCCGCTCGCTGTTAGGCTTCCAAGCATCTGATCCGACCGGCACCGAAGCAGGCAGTCCGAAGGGTGAAAGATTCAGAGACAGAAGAGAGCTGAAGTCGGAGACATGGAGGGGAAAACGGGACTACGAGGCTGATGCGTCCCCTAAGTCTCGACTGCAGACGCGAGAGAAGAGTGAAAGCATTCCTCGAGTTTTGAGACTCGGAACGATACTCTCCGAGTTCGACTCTGGATGTGGCATACTTGATGTTGGCTTGAAGCTGCAACCAAAAATCCGGATCTCAGTCTCAGAGTCCGCTCCGTTCAGACAGAACCGGAGACCCGTGGCCAGTGGCGATCGATCACCCGGCAGCAGAGACAGCGGCAAAGGAGACATTCTCTCTATTGGTCGTCCTCGACAAGTTGAGCTCCATTCGGTGGAAGGGGAGAGAATCGATATATTTTGCGGATGACGATCACGCCTTGCGTGTTCGGACCTTATGAGACAAGTTTCGGACCGGTTCATCATAGTCTGGCCACGATGAAGCAAAGCGTCAATTGGTGAAGTCTACTTTTGATGGCACCTCCACAGCTCCGAGGTACACTGCGCGGAGGGCTCGAAATAGAAAGGGATTGTCTGCTTGAACCAACAGGAGATCACTCGAGCGTCAACTTATCCAAGGACTGTCCACTTCCAATTCAATACGTGATCCGGGTCCGACTCAAGCTTCGGAGCTTCGACTGAGACAATTACCTATCCGACGCTGGAAAGAGTCCCGAAGAAAGAAAACTCATCCGATGCTGGAACCAGATATGACGTCTGTAGATTCTTCATTTCCCATCCATTTTCTCGACGGCAGATTCCCAACGAAGAGATCGATGCGATTCCTCTACAGGCTAGACATGGAGAACATGAGAAGAAATACGCAGAAGCTCCTTTGGGTCATTCTGAGAGATCAGGGAGGAGAGAGATTGAGCTCTGAAAACGAGCGGCTGGAAAGCAAACGAAGGGTCCCCGAACTCCGGTCCACGGCGCGGCGGTCACCTGCCTCCTCGATCGAGCCCTCTCCGAGAATTATCGTGGATGCGTGATTTTTCCACGGGCTCGAAATGTATTTTCCCCATATGAGGAACATCCTCACCCGACCGACTAGTTCTACACGTGATTGAGCGTTCGTATGTATTCAACAAGTGTGCTATATCTGTGGGAGCGCATGCGCTGAAGATCTTACAGGAGGGCAAACACCGACCGTGGCTCCATCTTGTGACGCAGGACGGCTCAGGAGACTGGAGGAGGTTCAGAATGATCTCGGGCCTCTTCGATTACGCCTCGGCTCCTCAGAGATATTCAGGCGGGAGCCGCTTACCGCTAAATCCACGAGACGCGACGCTGACCTAGAACGTCAGGCGCACCGCCCTCGCGGCGGAGGCGCCTAGCACAGGACCGACGATCCGTTGGCGAGCTGCTGTCTGCTTCTTGCTGTAGATGTATAGAACAACGAGTGTCTCATCGTCCTACTAACTCGTTTACGTGTGAATAGAACAATCGAACTCTGTGCAAGCTTCTCCAGATCCTCGCGAATCGTTAACGGCCAGAAAGTGAGGCCGCCTCCGCAGTTTGAGGTGAGTCCAACGCGGCCAAAACCGCAACACCTGTTGTGCTGTGCTCTGTGAATCGCTTCTTCCTGACAATCACGGTTTCTGGTCCGAGAGAAACAGCGCAGAGACGTCGGGCGATGTCGATCGACTCTCTGATCCGGGCCCCGTGTCGGAAATTCTCGGCTGGACGGTGACATGAGCCGCGGGAGGCTGTCTAGCTCCCCGGACCGCCCAATCGGTACCCAATGGTTTCCTATCAGCTGATTCTGTATCGTTAAGTCCCCGATGTGATCCGTCCATCCAGTCTTCCGCTGCTGCTGCCAAGAGCACTTGTTTGGATATCGGCAGGCTTTTCAGATGTGTGCCGATGGCGAAAGCTCCGCTTAAATCGGCGCCTCGCCGGGACTTACTGCCTCTTCGAGTCGTAAACTCGTTTGAGAAGTTTTTCTTACGTTTGCACTCCCACCGCTGAGCTTGCTAATTTCCATCGGGAACCGAAGCCCTGCTCATCGCAGGCCGGCATCTGAGGCTTCACAGGAAGTTTTCCATTCGATAAAGCGCTGCGGAAACAACAACAACAGCAGCAACGAAGCGTTGATTGCGTGTTCCCTCCGATTTCCCGAAGAAACACCAACGCATCTCCGACTATTTCGAGTTCTGGCTCCGGCGGGGACTTTTCTCCGGACGATTCTTAATGAGAATGAAGATATCTTCCTGAAGGAGCTCCTGCTCCTGATACCAGCTAGTCAGATCCGGAGCTAGGCAGGCTCGTTCGTTCGGAATGATTTCCGACGTCCCGTAAGGGCCTGCTAGATTGGATTTTCGACTCGACAGAGCAGCAGTCACCCTGCGATTTCGATAGCAGTTCATGCTTCCCATTCCACCCGAATAAGCCATGGAATTCAAGGTGAGAGTGAAACACATCGCTCCTTCCCGTAGCGAGGGTTTCGAACACATTTTCGCTCCACTAACCCTGTGCGGAAAAGCGAGCCCGGGACGGGATCGCAGACTCCTAACGACTTCTGACCTTTGCCCCGCTTCTGGTTGCGACCTCCTTTCGTAGAGTCCGAGTACGGGGACGGGAACTCCGTCAAGACTTCTACTTCCGACGAATCTAACACCCGACACTCATGGAGCTGCTGCTCACAACAGTCAGATAATCTGAGTAGAAAGCGGAGACAGCTAAGCGAGTGTTAGCGGATGTCGGTGAAGAAGCGTCGGTCGGGCGGACGAGCGGCTGAAAAATTCGGCTCGAGAGCGTCTTCACGGAAGTTTTCACCAACCCGAACTGACTCTCGATCGCGGTTTTTGCGTTGCATGGACGTCTTGTCGATACAGCTCAAATGCGGTCCATTTGTTGGGAAGAATACGTGGAGGTTACGGAAGTGGAAATCGAAGTGGAGCACACCCTGGGACAAGTAGGAGATCGCGGAGTACGGAGGAGGAAGCGCATCGCAATAAAAGAAGGATTCGCGGGCAAAACCTGTCGTTTTCGTCCCGATGACCACCGGGGCTTTATATATAGAGAGCGGAAACCGTCGCCATTTTTGGCAGCGGTTCAAATGCGCCTTATTGAGTTCTGGCGGGAACTCTTACGCACGACGAAGACCCCGTCGGTCGTTTGCGGTCTGTTTGTGCATCCATTACTGTTGCTGCAATCGGACGACGGACGCGTGCTCGTCCTGACGAGCGAGTTCCGTAATTCGTCGGTTCGTCTCGTCTACCGTTTAGCTCGTCATCGAATCTCTCATCGCTGACAACGACTGAACTCTATCTATCCGATAGCTGCGACGAAGACCGCCCCGATGTTGTCATACCATAAAACGCCTCGTAAACCTTGTCCTCCTCTGAATCCGCTGTTTCCGGCTGCGTCCCGAATCGGTCATTCGGATTTCCTTTGTTTACTCCGGAGAGATCGCATCGTAGTCCGCCGAGCCGCCAATTCAGCCGAGTCGTCGAGGTCACCTCCGACTAGAGCCTCACCTCTCGGTTCTCATCGTCGAATATTCGAAGATAAGGAAGCTCCCGTGAGACGTCTCCTCTATCTCTGGCTCCCGCCTCTCGTCCATTCCCGAGTCCCTTTCACAGGTCATTCGAATCGGAGAATTTTCCCCCGGAGCGTATCCCTTCGCTCGAGGGGAGAATGATTGTTAGCAGAGTCGCGTTTGCGCACCGGGAACCTCACAGGAAAACCTGTAACCCGCCTAGTGTATTCAATGGGACTGTTGTGTTCGGCAGATTGCCTCGCGAGCGACTGAATCCTGTCGGGTGACACAAAAACTAGTTCCTCTATGCCGCCGCCGCCGCCGCAGCATACGTTAGTGGTTATTGTGTGAGAGGAATCCGGCGCCCGTCCGGCCCGCCGGCTAGCCAGTCGAGTATGAGAGCGGACCTCATCCCAGGCTGCAATCGAGCAGTGGGAACATGTTTGTGTTTTTTTCATCATGCTCCCCATTCTGTGTCGTTTCGTCGGCGCCGAGCCGTTCGCGTTCGCGACCATCCCTCGTCTCCACTGGAAACGAAGGGCCGGCACAGAAAACATCGATTCTTGAATCGATGGCAACCTCTGAACACCAGAGCTTGGCTCGATGAAAGGATGAAAATATAATAGAGCGAAGCGCTCGTTTGCCGAGCTAAGTCCCTGGTTCA